ATAGAAAGTCCCATAGAGCGGTTAATAATGGCTCAACTTAATAAAACTTAAATCTGGCACTCTATCAGCAGTGCCATTCATGTTGTGTAATATTTCAGATTTAACATTTTATGCCATGTCATCAATTTTTCATATGTATAAAGGGTGTTTTCTCTAAACATGTTTACATCCACACATTTTTATGAAAATGTTAGAATTTTGCATAAAGAATGCTGAATGGAAAAATCAAGATGATGTGATAAAAATGTGAATATGTACATTAAAACATTTAGGCCAGTGTTATTTTAGTATAAGTGAGATTAGTTTTTATTTTTATATTTTCTGTTTTCATTTTAATTTTAGTTTAAGTTTTAGTCATTTGTGTTGCGTTCTTTGTCATTTTTATAATTAAAAAAAAATGTCTATACAGTTTTTATCTCATTTTATTTCAGTTCTAGTTTTAGTTATTTTAGTACCATTTCAGTATCAAATAAAACAAAATGAAAATGAGAAATGTTGTTGAAATATTGTTTTTAATAAGTGTTTTTATATTTGATATATTTTTATATTTTATTTAAGTTTTATTACATTTTTTTGTGGTTTTAGTATTAGCTTCAATTTTAGTTTTAGTTAACTATAATCCTGTTCTATTTGAGGTAGATAATGTTTTAAATTGGTAAGAAGTGCACAAACTAATGGAAATGCATGTACCAAATAAATCCCTAGATGTGCATCAGAAAGTCACGTGATTGAATAATTTACTCAGATTTTTGCTTACTATCACCATATCGCTGCTCATTTGCATAAAGTTAAGCTCTCCTATTCCTCACGTCCTCGGAAATAATCATCTCTTATTAAAAATGAATGGCATTCAAAATTCTTTCTCACTGCAAACCATAAGGTGTTCATTTGTCCATAATGCTGCGTAATGCCACTAACCTGCAAAGTTCCTTGTGAAAACTAATGTGACCAGCAGTATAGGGATGATGACAGTTCCTATAGTCACAACACGGTCAAAGGGCAACTCTAGTTTGAGCTGCACCATGAGACCCGCCAGCACACCGGCCTTCTCATCCTGTGTGGAACCCGGCAGGATCAACTCCTTCAGCTTCTCACCCGCAAGCAGAGCCGTGGCCATGTCCAAGTTCTGCTCGAAGATGTTCTGCATTCGGCACCAGCAGCCCGCTCGCCACTAACCTCACAACACTCCTGATGGGACTTGAAGCTCCTCCTCCTTCACCCAACCCGCCAGCCACTGGATTGGCTGAGGGCTTTTCCCTGCAACAATATAATGAGTGATATGTAAGAGGTGTTGACTTGAAGGATGAAAGTGGATCTTCTAAGAGTCACAAAGGAAGCTTTGTGGTCAGCCTGAGTTGATGGGTTATTGATGGCTGATCTTGTCAGAGGTAGATTGAAGAGAGGAAAATCAGAGTTGATTTGCTGCTTATATTGACAGCTGGGATGACTTTCTCATCATATCTATTCCACTTCTGCAAAAACCTGTAAGTGAACGGATACAGATTATCAAGAAAAAGTAAAGCTACTGTAATCTGTGAAAGTAAATTGCATTTGATTCTGCATGTTCAGGCTCTATGAAAGTGCAGGTTCCTTTAATTCAGTAACCAGTGGAGTGTGCCTATCTGCAGAGTCCTTTGAGAGCGTGCACTAGTGACAAGGACAAAAAAACACAATGACATCCTACTAGAGGCTTAGATAGTCCAGATTAGAGTGCAGAGATTGTACACTGTTGTTCTTTAACTCATTAGAAAGTTTTACGGCATTATTTCTGAACTACATGGAAGCTTGATATGTTGCAGTGTCTTTGCCCACGGTATAAAAACACAGAAAATAGAAAATAGCTGTCGTACATTTCGAAAATCAATATATCTCACTTTGAGCTCAAGAAATCAATAAGGAGTAGCTTTCTAACAAATGGAAAGAACAAAAATGGCAAGAACCCCACGTTTGTAAGTTAACTTTATTTTTGTGATGAAGTATATCAGTTTTTCAACTGAATGCACTATAGATGTTTTATGTTCATCTTTAATGTACACTAAACAATGTCTTTATCGTCAGAGCTGTGCCATAGTGGGTAATGAATTGTTCTGACATAAAAATTTGGTGTGTTTGTGATTGACTTGGTTTTATTTATGTAAATAAACAAAATATTAATATAGGTTTTTATTAACATATTTATATTGTTTTGATTTAAAAAAATAAATAATAAATATTTAATTAAGTTTAATATATATACAGCCTGTAACATAAATGCAGGGTTAAATATCTTTGTATATTTCATTGGACAAATCTAGTTGACTCCATCTGCATTGAAGTTTAAAAAATTTAATTTTCTTTCTTTTTTTTTTTTCAATTTTGTTGAAAAAAAAAATCTGCAACCATCAGTGCTGGGGAAAGTTACTTTTAAAAGTAATGCATTACTCCATAAAAAAGTAACTAATTACGTTACTTCGTTACTTTTTTATGGAAAGTAATGCGCTACGTTACTTCAGATATTCTCTTGTAAACTAAAAAGTAATGCGTTACTTTACTAGTTACTTGAAAAAAGTAATCGGATTACGTAACTTCTATATTACTTGTAATATATTACCCCCAACACTGGTAACCTAGACTGGTTGAGTATAATTCATATGGTAAATAAAATATATTGCACTCTGTTACATATATATAGACAATGAGGTCAATATTCCGATTCGTGGTTGACTGATATATGTTTTTCAATATTTCGATCTTAAATTATTACAATTGGTGCTGCCAATCTTGAAGACAATATGTGCTGATATAAGAAACTATTCTATTAAAAATTGCTTATGTTAGGCATAGTGTTAACTTGTATTTGTCACTTTGGCCTAGTTAGAGACAGTTTAGATCCTCTAAGAGAAACTAGAAAAACTCCTTTCACAGCAGGTTTGATCAAACAAGTTGATAGTGATTAGAAATGTGTCATGCAAACTTAATGCAACAGTATGCAGTAGGCTAGTATCTTTTAACGCAAAACAGCCTTAGATATAATCTAGGTTTATCGACGATGCTGTATAACGACACTGTCCGACATATTGACATTCTGACAGTGAATGTTTAGGAGCATTAAAGGTCTTGCGGTGCACATCACTTACGCTCAGTCGAGGAGCTGTCCGTCACTGGATCATCTGGCTAGGATGACACATAGCGGCTTAAGACATAGATATGATAAAATACATGATACTATATACGACATGAGTGAAAGAGAGACGGAGAGGACTGGGTTGCATTGACTCTCATCTGATGTCACATACCTGTCAGATTACTCGATTATACTGAGGAACACGCAGAGCCCGAATCCTATGCTCAAATCATCAACACCAGGAAAGATCTCCTCACAACGTCCAACAGATCCCCCCCCAAAAAAACAAAGGACGCGGATGCTGTGACTTGTGCTTTAGTGTTGAGCATCCCCGGCGTCTGAAGAGTTAATCTGCAGTGCGGGCGAGCCGTTTCAGCGTGTATCCGGGCACACACACCGGTTTGTTCCGCTTCTTGCCATCCCTCTCACCCTCCCCTGACAAACCTCGCACACTTCTCCGGTTTACACCATCATCTCCACACAGACCTTCAAGGAGATACATTGTCGTTGCTTGTTTGCCTTACACGAGACGTTATAATATATTGCTAGTGTGCTTGTGTGGAAACGCAAGCGATACATCTGGCTTAATAACTAAAAGGAGACATTATGAAATCATAAAGATATGTATTAGATTCAACTTTTTCCCTCGTATGGTCTACTGCTGTCCTTTATTTACTGTATAATCAGTTTTGTTTTGCATTGTGCTGTATGTTGTTGTGCATTAAAATACAGTATTTCTTGCACAAGATTCTATTCTATTTATCTTATGTATTTGTTAATGTTACTGTAGGGTGACTGAAATCTGTAAAGATGTTTAGGTTACACTGCAGTAGCTTTTTTGTCATATTATAAGCTGCTTTTTATTTTATAGCAAAATATACAGCTTACGTGCTAATTAATTAATTAATTAATTCACCCCAAAAAATGAAAATTCTCTCATCATTTACTCACTATCACTGTCCATACAATTTAAGGTCACCAAAATGGTTTGGTTGCCAGCATTCTTCTAAACCATGAGCAAACATACTGAGCTGTTGGGTCACTTTCTGGAATAAGTCATTCACATTTCACGTAAACGATCTTTAAAATTTTATTGATCTACAATGACATAACAAGATGCATATATTTATACAAAAATACAATCTAACAAAGTAAAAATGGTTGCATGTAGCAAGGCACTGAACAGTAATATGGTCCATTAAAGTGTTAGAATTATTGAAAGCATCATATATTAGGTCCCCTACTCTTCTAGCTTCTGACATGTGGGTTTTCTAGATAATGCATTACAAGTGCTGTAGATTGTACATGCATGGTGTGTTCACCATTTATTTGCATATAAATTTGCTCAGCCATTCACTCATCACATATGATTCTAATTTCTATATTCATGATTGTGACACAAGTTTTAGGATCTTTACAAAAGACTTTCAAAAACAACCACACATTTTGACTTGTTGGTACTTTTTCTTACTAAATTATCATTCAGTAATATCTTTGACAGACATACACTATAACGTTCAAAAGTCTGGGGTCAGTTGACTTGAAAATATTTTTGAAAGAACTCTCATGCTCAGCAAAGCTGCATTTATTTGCTTAAAAATACAGTAAAATCAGCAATATTATGAATGTTATTACAGTTCAAAATAACAGTTTTCTTTTATTTATATATATATATAGCATCATTACTCCAGTCTTCAGCATCACATGATCCTTCAGAAATCATTTTAATATGCTGATTTGGTGCTCAAGAAACATTTCTTATTATTATCATCAATGTTGAGAAATTTTTTCAGGTTTCTTTGATAAAAAGGAAGTTAAAAAACAGCTTTTATTTGTACCATTTTTGTAACAATGTGAAAGTCTTTCTTTCACTTTTGATCAGTTTAGTGCGCCTTTGCTAAATAAAAGTATTTAAAAGTTTTTTGGTTTTTTTTAAGTTTAATATCTTAACCCCAAAATTTTGAACGGTAGTGTACTGTTCATTAATATGACAGGTCAGCTGACAACTATGACAGAAGTTTCATGATGATTATTTTCCAACTGACATTATCATACTCCATATTTGTACCTTCACTTTCTTTCTCTCAGTTTTTTCCTTCTGATGCCTGTATCTTTGGTCACTGGGCCATTTGGACCACCACTGCTTTCCATGCCTTCTCTCTGTCAAAATCCCTTAGTGTGCCATTTAGCGTTTGTTGCTGTAAGAAAAGAATGAGATGATAGAAAAGAAATGACCCAATAGTCACCTTGAGGTCTTCCTTTGTTAATCACAACATCCTCCATGTGCGTTGTGATGAAATCACAGCGGTGTAACAACTGCCATTCCACTGTGACTGTCTTTCATGCTACATTTGGCACTGTACAATACAGTTTTTCATTTATTAGTCTCTCATGGCTAACATCTTGTGCACAGTCATACAAAACACACACAGTACAACACACTTCCTGTACTCTTAAATTGACTTGTCAGTCATTTCATAGGGTGTAGGTTTGTATTTTTACCTCAGAGTGTTTTTTGTGTAGTGTGTCCCATTCAGTGCGCAGCTGGCTCTTGTAGGAAGCACACTTTACTATGGTGGCTAATGTTAGTACCGCCTGCACCAGCAGCAGCCCCATCAGGACAAGCAGCAGTATGTCATACGACTGCTGCACGCGCAACATACATTCACAAAATTAATACGTTTTGAACATCCTTCAAGATGGGTTTAAAGTTAAAAATGTAGGGATAGTTCACCTAAAAATGAAATGTCGTTCAAAACATGTATGAAGTTATTTTTGTTCTTTGGAAGTGATTCAGCAGTGTTGCAATTGTTAACTAAAGAATTGTTTTTGGTAATTGAAATAAAGCTGAAATAAAATTTAAATATTAGACAATAAACTAAAAATAATAAAAAAAAAATATTAAATGAAAATGAGAAATGTTGCCTTGGCAACTAACTGAAACAAGATGAAGTACTAAAATGACTAAAATAAATTAATGCTAGATAAAATTCTTAAACATTTTTTTTTTAAATGACAAAAACACATACCAATATTACTACAACTTTGAAAAAGAAAGCTCACGCACAAATTCAATTCACGCACCTCACAATGACTACAAAAAAGATAAAATAATATTATGAAAGCACTAAAGGCCTTGTGAAATCATACAATAGTTTTAATTATGAAACAGATTTCATAAATTTCAGCTGCAAAGCAGATCCAAAAAGACAACAGTCATTATTCAACTCAGTATTTTTATATGCTATTATTGTATTTATTAATATTTTGAATTAACTTTTATTTTTAGTTTTTAGGTTTTTTCTATATAGCTTTAATTAGTTTTTATTTCAGTAGGTTTCATTTCTGTACTTCAACATATTCATAACAAATATTTCAATTTCTAACATTTCGTTTAAGCTTCAATATCTAACTTTTCGTTTCAGTTTTTTAAGTTTAAGTTTTTCATTAATATTAATATTTTAGTTCAGCTTTATTTAAACGTCTGAAAATGTTTTTTAATTGTTTTAGTTTTGGTTAACAATAACAACACCGCATGAGGATCAGAAAATTCTAATTTTTGGGTGTGCGATCCCTTTAAGGGGTCAAAAAATGTCCAAATCTGACATATTGGAACTAATCTGATTTGATTGGTGGGGTGCACAGAAATGACTCACCTTTGCTAATGGCACTTCATGCAGATAGATCTCAATAAAATTAATCACGCTATAGGACAAAAATCCAGAAGCTGAGAAAAGAAGTGGTGAGGTCACACTACTTATAGCAATCAGCATTTCCACCTACAGCAGTAAAATTGAGAGGCGGAAAGAAAGAGAAAAAAAAAGAAGGCGAGAGACAGTCTTTAGAGAGAATCACTCTATAGAGAAGGCAGACAGACAGTTCAATGAATGAGAATGCTGAATGTCCTCTAGGGACGTTCGATTGCACTGCTTTATTGCTGGAGAGACCCTGATGGTGACTCACCAGACTCTTGCTGGGATATTCTGCCACCACATGGCTGGCAATGGCACTGGGGAAACACTGCAGAGGTATCACACACACAAGCAATGATAGTTAATCACTCTGAATAATTTACAATCTGAATTGGACTGATATAATAAACTGAACTCACAGCTACCAGAATCCAGAAGAAAGTGACAGAAAGATATGGCTCTGGGAGGAGAGCACCCAAATTCAGAGAAATAATTCCTCCAAATACAGCGGAGATGCCCACTATAACCTCAATTACCTGCAGCAGAGAAAGAGCGGCAGATCTACAGTAAAAATCGTGCTGATATACAGTGCATACACACAATCTCATTTGTAGGCAACTCACGGCGTAAGCCTTGAGAAGACGAGTGGGGAACGAAGCTGGGGTCACAACCACAGGGCCATCAGACACTGGCTGGAGGAATGAGATGGATGATAGCAATGAGGAAAAGAAAAAGAGCAGAGAGACATGAGCACAAGGGAGAACATATAAAATGTAAATCATATAAGCTAGAGACAAATACATTTAGTTATAGATATATCACATGGTGATAAAATCCTGCTGGCTGGGACTCAGCATAAAAGCATTATGCAATTATTTTGCAAATGGAAATAAATCTGAAATAAACTAATATATAAATATTAGATAGAAAACTCTAAATTAGAATTAGAATTTGTCCTTGGCAACTAACTAAACTAAATAAGCTTAAGTACTGTAACTATTGAAATTAAAATTAAAATAATAAATTAAAGCTATAAAAAATGACAAGCATATTTTGCATTAAGATTTTTTAGATAAAGGCAAAAATGTACAAATTAAATTAGAAATCTCAATTTCCACCAAACACTCAAAATTCATTATGAAAGATCTAAGATAATTATTTGTTATTATATACGTATATTTATTTCCTGACATCTGCCAAAATAATTGTAATATTGCAGGCAGTCTATACACATAAATGGTACACTCTCTCACACACACACCTTTGCATGACTGCAGCAGTCGTCCGCTGAGCGTGCTGACAGGATAACAGTACTGGCCGTGAGCACTTCCAGCACAATAAGCAGGAGCAGGTTAAAGTTGATCTTTAAGACGACAGACAGCAGTAACTGTTTTAATAGTATAGATGTTTTACATGCACATTATAGCTTAGTGTCTGAGCATTGTGTACAAGCAAGTGTATAAGCATGCAGTGTATTTACTTATAAATGACCATATTACTTCGATCAGATCTATGCTTTTCTATTGTCATATTATATAATACACTAGACTATTTAATTTTGATGTTACCACTGTCACGGTGCACACACACGAGGAACACGGGAACGAAGGAGCGAGGAGACACGGAGTAGAATAAATCAAAAGGGTTTTATTAACAAAGGCTGGGGATCACAGGACTCGACACATCAGGATGACGTTCAACGACTGACAAAGGACAAGAACTAGAACACACTTTAAATACACAGGAACTGATGAGGGGAAGACAAGGGACACCTGGAAATAATAAGACAATCAACATAGGAAACACCTGGGAACAAAGAATTCAAAACACGAGACAGAGAAACTGGAAGACGGAGCACATAGGGAGCAAAGACACACACAAAACCTGGCCCAGAGTCTGACAACCACATGAAGGACATTTTTAAGATCACTGACAAACATTTTAGGGTATTAGACTTGTGATGTTCTCACATTGATGGCTGAGGGACTAATGGCGAGTTTACATCCGAACCACACCAGACACGTGGTTGTCACAGCAAAGGACGACACGTAGACCATCTGAAAGTCTGAAACCTGTAAACATAATGTAGGTTATGTATTTGTAAAAAAGTAGCTTTTTACATTTTTTACTTTAGCTTTTCAAAAGCTAGTTTTTTAATACAGTTGAGCTACTGAAAACTATAGTTAAGCACCACCAGTTTTAGATAGATACTCTCCATGATTAAACTACTAGACACAGTTGATTTCTCTGTATTTATTGAAAAATATCCTTTCACTTACTGCAACTTGTCTGTTCTTGGCAATAGCGAAGCTCACCACTGCAGCTGGTATACTCTACAAACCAGAAGCAAAACATACGAGTGTCAAACTGACCAGTGGCCTCATCCATGAGCATATGAGTCCTTCAGGACAAACACTCACAGATCCAGCAGTACAACGCAGGTAGTCCATTGCACCTGGAAACACATTACCCATGTAGAGGGAGAAAGTTGCTGCTATCAGCAAGCTGCTCTGGGGGTCAAATACAGATGAACACACCCAGACCCTCAGAAAATCAGTGTGTTAAAGGAATATTTGACTCAAAATTGAAAACTGACTCACCCCTCAGGCCATCCAAGATGTAGATTAGTTTCTTCATTAGAACAGATTTTGAAAAATGTAGCATTACATCTCTTGCTCACCAATGGATCCTCTGGAGTGCCGTCAGAATGAGAGATCAAAACATTGAAATAATCCACAAGTAATCCATCAATTAACGTCTTATGAAGTAAAAAGCTGCATGCGAGAAACAAATATATCATTAAGGTGGTTTTAACTTGAAACTGTTGCTTCTGGCCGAAATACCAATCCATAATCCATAATAACACTTCCTGTTGTCCTCTCACATCAAAATCCACCAACATGGACTGTTTTCACTCACAAATGTGCCTGATCCGTGCATATTTCTCTGCTGATTTTCACTTGAAAAAGCAATATTATGAACAAAGGTCTCGTATTTTAGCCATAAGCAACAGTTTGAAGTCAAAAACATGAATTTGTTTGTTACAAACATGCATGCTGTTCACTTCACAAGACATTAATTGATGGACTGCAGTCATGTGGAATACTTGTGGATTATTGTGATGTATTTATCAACTGTTTGAACTCTCTTTATGACGGAACCCATTCACTGCAGAGGATCCATTGGTGAGCAAATAATGCAATGCTAAATCTGCTCTGATAAAGAAACAAACTCGTCTACATCTTGGATGACCTGAGAGTGAGTACATTTTTAGCAAATTTTCATTTTTCTTTTAAATCTCTTAGCTACAGGAGTGAAAATCTGCTGAGCCAAAGCTCTTACCCCTATAACGACGCTGTAAAGCCAGACTCTGTAGCTAAAGCAGGGATGTAACGGCCCAGGCTGATTCAACTGCAGGTCACTGGCCCTGACATCCACCGTGTAACTGTCTCTCTCCAACCTCTCCCGATCCAGATGCCGACTCAGCGTTCCTACCCCACTCTTTCGCTCCAGGGTGGACATCTGGGCATAGCTGAACACTTCCTGAGCTGATGCCTCCTCTCGTTGCATCCTGATATCCATGACCCCTAGAGATCCAATTCATATAAATCACATATATTGACTAGGTGAGAAAAAAATGCACCGAATGTAAACATTTAGAGAAGGAAGTAAAGAATATGGCTTATGCACTATTGACAGATTGCCATATGATCCTTTTAATGACACTTAAACTTACCTCAGTTCCCCAAGGCCTGTAAATGGAATGCAACACATTATACCGGTTACTTCTTTCAGAGCATTTGAAGGTCATTCAATCATAAACATGTCTTGTGTATTCCCGGGGAATGCATGAACTGATAAAATGTACTTTGAATGCAACACTTCGGATAAAAGCACCTGCCAAATGCATCAATGTAAATCTAACAGTGTTAAAATATGTTAGTAATTTAGCACTGTTAAATAGCAAATCAAATTTTTTTTTATACAGTATATTGTGTTGTGCTTAACAGTATCAGTCAGAAATTTTAATATTATACACAGTTTTACCAAAACTAACTAATGATAACAACATGTTTATATTCTCCCCAATATTTTGCTAACATAAAAAGTGCCAGACTGAAGATTTACTTTTAGTGTCTTGTTTCATTTAATACATTTACATAAAAATGTCCATATTTAGGCACAGCTGAGAAAACATATGGACCATAAAACAATGGCTTTACAGTGACATAACCACAACCCGCTGTGTTTTACGCTCAAACTTTTGAAAAATACCCTTTTTTTCACAATTTAGAAAGAGCAGGGTCTTGAAGGTGCTTCAATAACACGAAAGTGTGCTAAAAACATTTTTTTTCTTTGCACTGATAAAATCATCATACAAGACCTATGAGCTCCCAGTGCTACATTTCACTAATAACTACCAATATCTCGGTATCCAGGGGAAAAAAGTATATTTTTGGTTAACAATAAAGAAATAGAGCGCAATCAAACTGCTCCCTCTTGAAAACCCACACGCATAATGAATATAAAGCACTTTCACTGTATTACGTAAACAGCCACGGGAACACAGAGCAATAAAGAGGATGCATTGCGGGGATAATGCGTGAAGGCAATGATTCATAAAAAAGTTTGAAACACACCAACCCCTCCCTCAACCTCTTTTCCTCAACTTCATTCTGAGCCTCACTTCCTTTCCTCCATTCATTCATCTTATCTCTCCAGCCCTCTTTATCTTAATCTCTGCTTCCCACTCACCTGCCTCCAGCTTCGAGACACCGTTTATTTCAGCTTGGCCCACCTGTTCCCGTTCCTGTGGAAGTCTAAGGTTTTAGTTGTACTTTATCTTTGTCTTCTTCCTCTTGTTCCTCTCCTCTCTCCTCTCTCCTCTCTCTCTCTCTCTCTCTCTCTCTGTCCCCTCCACTCCAAGTCAATAAAAAACTTTTGGAACGCTTCAAAGCCTGGAACAGAAAGTTGAGAGTGTTGCCCTGCCAGCCAGTTTTAGCCAGTGAATGCAAATGGAGCGGAGAGATGGGGCTCAGATGAGGGGCTGCTGAGACCAGAGCCTCTTACTGCTCTGTTCAACTCAATGAGAGAACTCACACATAAATCAACACCCCCCTTGCTGCCATACACACAAAAACACACACAGAAAGAATGCACGCAACCTAGAATGAGTTTTCCCATGTACACATAATCAGGCACCAACAAATGTTTCTTTTCTTCATGCATGGGATTACATTCCAAACCAAAGTTTGGAATAATTAAGAATTTTTTTGTGTGTGTTTTTGAAAGAAGTATCATGCTCAGCAAGGCTGCATTTATTTTCAGAAATATTTTCAGTAATATTGTGAAATATTATTACAATCTAAAATAACTGTTTTAATTTTTAATAAATTATAAAATGACGTTTATTTCTGTGTTGGCAAAGCTGAATTTTCAGCAGCTTTTGTCTTCAGTGTAACATTATTCTACAGAAATCATTCTAATACGCTGATTTGGTACTCAAAAAAAATTCTTAATATTATTATCAATGCTGAAAACAGTTGTGCTGCTTAATGTTTTTGTAAAAACTGTGATGCATTTTTTTTCAGGATTATTTGATGAAATAGACATTTCAAAAGAACAGCATTTATTTGAAACAGAAAACATTTTTGATCAATTCAAAACTTTTATTAAAAATGCTGAATAAATGTATTAATTTATTTTTTAAATCATACTTACCCAAAACATTTGAATGGTAATGTATCACAGTTTCCACAAAAATATTAAGCAGTAAAACTGTTTTTAAGCATTGATTATATGTTACCAAATCAGCATATTAGAATGATTTCTGAAAAATCATGTCGCACTGAAGACTGAAATAATGACTGCTGAAAATGCAGCTTTGCCATCACAAAAATAAATTACATTTTAAAATAACAGAAAACCGTTATTTTAAATTTTAATAATATCTCACATTATTACTGTATTTAGTGTACTTGTTATCAAATAAATGAAGCTTTGATAAGGATAAGAGACTTATTTAAAAAACATTTAAAAAATCTTAACTATCAAAAAAGTTTAAACTGGTAGTATATATGTCAACAAACAAGATACACAGTTCTGGTTGCATAACAAGTTCAAAGCTGTGCAGTCCTGCACTTCGCTCTTGACTCCTCCCACCTGGGCCTCCGTTTCACTAGAGTGAAAAAAAACAAACCAGAGATTTGGGACATCCCACAGGGCTTCTGAAGTTTGTAACCAGTGGACTCATAAACAGGGTCTTTAATCCTAGCACATTTCAGAAGGTTCAAGCATTTTATCACACGTCTTTGAAATGACTGAAACCAATCTATTTCATATCAGAATCATAAATGCAACTGTGTGAATTACCATATTTTGGCCTATATGTATAAAAGAGATAAATAAGAGGCGAGTGAGCATATGTGTAAAAATGCTCACGGCAGTATTTGTCCACATCAATGCTACTGTTCAAAAGTGTCCTTGAAAGGCAGTATCCATGGATACCTTTTAAACAGCCCCCTTCCAATGGCTGACCACCACACTTCATTGCCCTCTGAATATGCTCCACACAAAGATCACATGCTCATGTGGACACGTACACACACACACTCCAGGCATGCCAAACTACTGAAATCCCTGCAGATGTATTACTGATTCACTATAACTCAGCTTTCAATAGTAATTTTAGGGGTTTATGAGGCAAAGAGAAAAAGTCTAAAGTTTGTGAGTTGTAGCAAAGAGAAACGTAAATGTTTCTTTTTACGTTCACGTAAATCATGAAGAAAATCTCTTTTTAGGGTCCTGATGGGAAAGCTCACACCATAAATGCCCAGTGGTCCTTTAAAGGGGTTATATGATACGATTTCAAATTTTCCTTTCTCTTTGGAGTGTTACAAGCTCTTGGTGCATAAAGAAGATCTGTAAAGTTGCAAAGACTAAAGTCTCAAATCCAAAGAGATATTCTTTATAAAAGTTCAGAGTCAGCCACACCTACCTAAAACGGCTCGTTCTAACACGCCCCCACATATCTACCTCACTATGTGGGAAGATTTGCATAACGCCGCCCAAATGTTCATGCAAAGAAAGAAGGCGTAACTTTTAGTCTCACTGTAGTTTTGTTGACGCTGCAACCATGTCGTGAAGACGCTGTGTGCTTCGTTGTGAAAGTGAAACTACTTTGTTTGGTCTTCCAAAAGAGGACGATATCCGCTTCGTCATGCCTAGAGCTGATCTGTGCCGTTCGCTGAGGGAATACATCAACTTTCACCGTGGACGAAGCAGAGTCCAGCCCGGGGTCGTCACATGTGGTTGCCGCTCATTCGTCGGATC